GCAAGGGAATCCCTCTGAATCTATTTCAAAGGATGGATGTTCCAGCAAACAACCCCAACAGAGGTAACAATGTACAGCTCACGTCATTCTGGGGGTTGCTTCCGAAATGCAAAATATCAGGACCTTGTGCAATCTTCCTGCAGCTGCTAGCCAGCTGTCCCCAGGCACCCAGTTCTTGTGTCTGTTCTAAACTAAGTATTTGGATGCTAGTGATGAGTTCATTCCTTGCTAAAAATTAAGACCAGCTGCTGAGCCCAAGCAAGCTGAAAGGAGAGCATGTTTTTGAAGTTGGAAAAGGAACTTCTAGGCTACAAGAAAAGCTGAGTTACCAGCACTGTAGTTATAGGTACAAGAAAGATTAATATGTCTCTTCCATAGCCAACCTCTTTCCTATGTAAGTACATATGTGTGTGTATGTGTACATAAAACATGTGGCTCCAATGTGTATGGTTTTATTTTATTTGTTATTTATATATTGTATTTCCGCATTAGCCAACTTAGAATTTTTGGAAAGGCAGAGTATTAATGTTACATCTCAATATAATAAACACATCAGTCTGCATGCAGTCCAAACGCTGATGTTCTTAATATATTCAGAACTAGAAAGACTTTTGATTTCATTTTCAGTCATTCATTTGTTATTTTAAAACACTCCTATTCCTTCTTTCCAGAAGGCTGAGATGGCTTGTTGTTGTTAACTGTTGTCAAACTGACTGATTTATGGCAACCCTATGAATGAGAGACCTCCAAATCAACCTGTCTTCAACAATCTTGCTCAGATCTTGCAGACTCAAGGCAGCTATGGCTTCCTTGATTGAGTCCATCCATCTAGAATGTGGTCTTCCTCTTTTCCTCCTGACTCTACCTTACCAAGCATTATTGTCTTTTCTAGCAAGTCATGACTTCTCATGATACAGCCAAAGTACAATAGTGTCAGCTTAGTCATCTTGGCTTTTAGAAGAGCCCTCCCTCCATTCCATCCGATGTCATCTGGGGGAGA